CTTTATATTAGGAGGTATTTTAATAATTGGCATATAACTGAATTTTTTTTAATCCACTTTAACAATATGTATCTTTTAACTGGAGGGCTTTGCTCTTCACATTTTTGTGCTATATTAGAATTTAATTTTACCATTTTATTATGCACATTTTATTATTAATTCTTTTTCTTTTTTCTTCAGTTCTTGCTTGTTTTGGGTGGAATTTTTTAATGCCTTTTTATTTTTTGTTTTCTGTATTCTATTTTTTTCTCTGCTAGTTTGAATGTCATATTCTACTGTCTTAGTGATTACCATTTCTATTTTAATATGCATCCTTAAAATGAATAAATTTGTCAGTATTTTTACTGTCCTCACAATCAATACAAAGACTTTAGTAGAATAGTTTGGTCTCAATTGTCTATCCATCAAATGATATTCTATTATTCTATCATTCCTAGTAAGTTAGATTGATCTCTACTATTTATTTAAACTCCGAAATTACACTTTAAAAAAAATATTTATACACTCTATGTTCACTTAGATTTACCAAGATATTTACCAATATTTTTGCTTATTGCGTCTTTCTACATTAAAGACCTGCTACTGAGGTATATCCATTAGATGTTCATTTAGTAAAGGTCTGTTGATGGAACTCTCATTCTTTCTCTGTCTGAAATGTGTTTATTTTGCACTTGTTCTTGGAAACAAAAGTAGTTTTGTGGAAAAGGAAAGCTTAGGATAGCACAAATTTTCTCAGATTTTTAAAAATATTTTTCCATTGTGTCCTGGCTTCCATTTTTTGCTACCGAGTAGTCAGTCATCAGTCAAGTTGTTTTTTGTTTGGTTTGGTTTCGGAAGAAATCTATCTTTGCTCTGAAGCTAATTTTATTTTATTATTTTTTTTTGGTAGTTTACAGTTACCAAAATGCATATTGAAGTGCCTATGTGAGGGTTTCTTTATATTCATTCTGTCTGGGTTGTGTTGGGCTTTTTGGATCTTACATTTAGTATCTTTCAGAAACTCAAGAAAATTCTCAGCCAGATTTTCCTCAAATATTGTTGCTTATTCATTCTATCTGTTATGACTTTTGGAGATCTTAGTATACTTATGTGAGATCTTGTCATTATCTCCTATATCTTTTAATAATTTGTATATTTTCCATTTTTTGTCAGTCTACACTGTAGTTCAGATAACTTTGCCACATCTTTTATACAGCAATCTAATTCCTTTTGAGTTTTCTCTAAATCTCCAGTTTAAGTCACTTATTGTAATTTTAATTATATTTTTCATTTTTAGACCTTCTACTTGGTTATCTTACAATTTTGCTTGCTTGTTTTTATGCTCTCTTGTCCTTTTCTTAAATGTTGAACCTTATCTTTTATTTATTTCTTTTTTCAGGTTATTTCTTTTTTCATTTATTAGATGATGATCTTAAGACAACTTGATTTGTCAATTTAAAAATGATTTGTTTCTTCATGCCGTTTATTAAAGGTGAAATAAAGACCTACAGAAAAGTCTTAGCTTCTTTTTTTCTGAAATTTCCCATCAATATAGCATAGTATGATCATTTTTGCATTGCTTAAACACATATTGGAAGCTTTTTCTGTGCTTCTCTGCACAAAGTAATACTATAATGCTCATGTTATTCACTTCAGTACATTTTGACACATTTCTAAATCCATCATTCAATGCAAAGGTCTACACATTATCATGGAGTTTGTGTTTAAAAAATCTTTGAAATTTCCTCTGCTCTTGACTCTCTGTTACAATGCTGAATGTACAGTTGAACAAAAAGGGCAAGGTGGGTCAGTGACAGGGAAAGTGACCCATTAAGACTGCAGGAGCTTATCTATGCTTCTGAAGGCCGATTCCTAAAGAAAACATTTCTGTATAAACAGAATATCATGCTTAAAAGAAATTTGGTTTTTTTAGTCAATCTCGAATTGATGTTCCAGAAATTACAAAGAAGCCACTTTCTACTGCTCTGTGGGACAGATACAAGGAAGCATTGGGCCTAAGCAAGAACTCTTTTGTCTTTTAAATATATTAAATATTGTAATTTTATGTTTTGCATATATCATTGAATCCCACTATCTAAAATATTCATAGGTTTAATTTCACTGTATCTGCTAACTCCCACTCATGGTGACATTTTTCCTTGTGGATTTTATGATTTTTGATTGTAAAATCACATTTTTTTAGAATTTCACCTGTGGGTAATCCTTTGAGGACTGACTTCTAGTTGCATTTCTCCAGGAAGAATGTGCATTTGTTTCTGTCAGTCATCAGGGATTCTACCAACCTTGAACCACTTGGACTGTACCCTACAGTAGTCTACTACTGCCAATGTCAAGATAGGCATGTTTTCATACTATCCCATTCTGCACAGCATACTTATTTTTTGCTTATACTTATAGTGTCCCAACTTTACATGCAGCCTCCTACTATCCTCCTCACTTTGTGTGGACCCTAGGCTTAATCACCTATCCTTCACTTCCCATACATCAATCAAAATAGAAGCTCAGGGTCCTCCAAGATTTGGTACAAACTATCATATGGAAACCCACTTTGGACTTTGCTTACCTCCCATGGTTCTTGCTTTCACTGCATTTTCAGCATCCAGAGATTCTTTATTTCATTCCACCTTAGGGTGATGAATTTTTTTAATGATTTTGTAATATTTTTTAAAGTTTTTCAGTTGTTTTATCAGAAGGATTACTCATTTTATTGTGTACACCATACAGTGAGAAATATAAGTTTAACATTCTCTGATTTATTTTCAATCCAGGCTTTTATTAAATCATTCCATTGAAGCCATTCTGTCAGGCTTACCAGTGACTTTCTTATGGGCTAATCCAATGGTAGCTATTGGTCTTCCTCTTACTTTTCCCTCTCAGCAGTGTTGAGCACAACTGATCTTCCCACCTTCCCAAAAATATTCTTCATGTGGCTTTCAGGATTCCTCACTTTTCTTGTTTTCCTTCTATCTCACTGACTATCTTGGTCTTCTTTTCTGGACTCATCTCGTCTTCTAGGCCTCAAAGTATACTAAAATTCTCGAAGCCACAATCCTGGACTTTCTTCCCTATCTACATGCACTTTTTAGGTGGTACCCAGTCCAATGCTTTAAAAACATCTGTGTGCTGATAACTACCAAATGTGTATGTTAAGTCCCATCTCTCAGGAACTCCAGCCTTAGATTCATCTGTCTAATAAATAGCTCTCTTGGATGTCTAATGTTTGTGAGACATTGCAAACCTAAAATGTTTAAGACCTATTCCTCTCCCTTCCCACACCAAAAACAAATTAATAATAATAACCTTCTCCAATTCTTCCTCACCTTTTACTCTGTTGATAGGAGTCATTATTGATTTATCTCTTTCTCACCCAATTCGTCAATAGATCCTGTTTTCTCCACATGAAAAATTATCTTGACTCCGATCACTTCTCATGTCCATCATCCAGGTCAAAGTCAACAACTCTGTCTCCTAAACATCCACAATAGTCCCTAACTGCTCTCCTATTCCCATTCTTGTCTCCCCTGCAACAATGCCACAATTACCAGCAACACTACCTCCAGCTGAAATCCTTACCTCTCCAGACCCAGATCTTTCTGACAATATAAATAAGATCATGCATTCTCATACTTAGAATCCTCATACTTAGAATCAAATCTGGACTTCTTACCATGGCCAATAAGATTCACACTATCTGGCCCTTCATTAAATCCTCTGACTACTTCTGGCTACATGCTTCCTCCTATTCACCTTATGCTTCTGCCACCCTTTCTTTTTCTCCTTTTCTCAAACAAACCAAACTTTATTCAACCCCAGTGCCTTTGTTCATTCTGTTCCCTCTATTTGGAATGCTCCTCTCCCATTTCTTTCTGTGACTTTTTCCTTTGTGTTATTTAATTTTCTGCTCAATATCAAAAAGTCATCACTGAGCACTCCATAGAAAATTGTATTATCTTTTTCATTGACATGTATTGCTACATGAAACTATGCCATGAATTTCATTGATTTGTTTTTTTGTGTATTTTTTTTCCACTTGAATATAAGCTTCATAAGGTCAGAGTCTTGTTTAGCTTGCCATTCTAGACCCAGGACCTGGAGTCATGCTAGGGCTCATAATAGATGCTCAGTAAATATGTGTTGGATTAAAAAATGAATTTCATTGAACTCTCACAAAAACCAGGGAGAACCATGACTTTTCCAATTTAATAGGTTAGGAAACTGAGGCTCAACAATGTTCAGTGGCTTCACCGTGATCACATATCTAATAAGTGTCAAAGTCAGACTCAACTGTGTGACTTTAGAGGCCATGACATCTTTTATTTTTGTTTTATTATTTAACTTTTCACTTTGAAATAATTTCAGATTTAACAAAAAAGAATTACAAAAATAGTACAAAGAGTTCCCTTTTACTCTTCATCCAGCTTTCCCCGTGGTAACATCTTGTATAGCTGAAGTGCAATGATCAAGACTCAGGAGGTTAATACTGATGTAGAACTAGTAACTAATCTAAAGACCTTCTTAAAACTTCACCAGTTGTCCCAATAATTTTTTTCTGATCCAGGATCACACCTTACATTTAGATGTCATGTGTCCTCCAGAGTCCCCTCCATCATGGGAGAGGTCTCAGTCTTTGCCTTTTATAACCTTGACACTTGTGCCAAAGGCCATATTCTCATCATCAGGATACAATCCACACAGAGTGCTTAGCAATTCTTTCTTGCCATTTACTTCATCGCCAGGAGTCAATTGGCAATTGGCAAGGGAATTTTCTAGTTCCCTTACATCTCTCACTCCATCCATCAGTGGGTCCTGTTGGCTCTACATGCAAAATTATCTTGTCTGTGACCACTTCTCATGTCCGCCATCTGGGTCAGAGCCAACTTCTACCAATGCTAGGCACATGGTAAGATTTCCATGATAATAGATATTATTGTTAGAATAATAAATATTTTTTTAAGGAGTAAAATGAGAATGGCTCCTCATATTCTGTTTGCGTTGATTAGTTTGGCCGACCTTGAAGTATTTATAAAGAACAGTGAGAGTGGCTTGCTCAAGAAAGTCGAAAAAGGAGATTTCAAAGGATTGGTTGAGATTATGGGACACCTTTTGGCTGTCAAAGAACGACAGAGCTGCACTGATGAGATGTTTGAGCCATTAAAACAAACTATTGAATTGCTGAAGACCTATGAACAAGAATTGCCAGAAATAGTGTTTAAGCAGCTGGAGGTGAGTGCATTTATGCATTCCTTACAAAACAAATAAAGGAACTTCAGAATGGGGAGAGGTGGGATGCAGTAAACGAAAAACAAAGCTTGGTGCTAACTCAAGGTCCATGCCTTGGGACTGTAATATGTGGTGTATGTGCAATGTCTAGCACATTCAACTCAATGAATATGGAAGAATGTAATTCTGGAGATATATGGAGAATTAAAATGCATAAAGAATTTTTTTCCAGAACTAAAGACGAGCCCACTTTTTGTTTCAGAGGGCAAAAAAAAGCAGGTCTGAAAGATATTATGATGGTCTAAGAGGAAATGTGGGGCATGAAGGAAAGTGACCAAGCACTTCTGAGAACATAGAAAAGAAAAGATTAAATATAGAAATAGTAGAAACCATGGGACCTGAATATTGTAGAAATATCTTGCCTTTAAGAAAAATCTAGAAGCTTCTGGTGTTCTAAATTGTCATAGAGTTAGAGGGGTTAGAGGGTTAGAGGTTGAGGGCAAGAAGGTTAGTGTTGAATGAGCAGTAGGTTATGGTCAACAGAGTGGGAAGCCAAGGAGGGAAATAAAGGAAGAGTGAGTAGAGAGGAGATTGTAGAGAATGGTCAGGTGACACCACTACATGATAGTACAACCTTGTAGCATAGATGAAAGCATCTGGATTCTGTCCAGCTTCAGTACTATGGGAAAGGAGGTAGCACCTTGGGGGTCTGACCACACTGAGGTCTCCTTTGCAGGAGCTTCCTGAAAAATGGAGCAACACAAAAAAGATGGCTATCATTGTGAGACAGCAGGTGGCCCCACTGCAGGCAAATGAAGTGACAATTCTCCGCCAGAAGTGCACAGCCTTTGATGTTGAACAGCAGCAATTCTGGGAGCGATTCCGCAAAGAAGCCCCCTTCAGGTATGAATCAAAGTTCCCTTTCTTTAAACATTGCAGAGTGTGAATCATGGGTGATAAGTGTGAATATTCTTCCAGTGAATCTTCCCTTCCATTTAGGTCCTTGGGTTAGAACACAATGTTAATTTGGGCAGAGTCCTATCCTGACCCATATGGAGTGACCAAAGATTGTAAAAAAAAACCTTGCCTTAAAGAAAAATCTAGAAACTTCTTGTATTTCCAAGTTTATAAAGGGATTGCATATAGTAAAGTTTCTAGAATTTTCCTAAACCTTTAGCATCTGGGTTTTCACAGACTTATGTTCTTTTAATTTTAAAAAGTGACTGATAGAATTTTAAAATAATTTTGGAAGACATTTTGGCAGCCTAAAGGAAGGATTTAGGTGAAGGTTTTCATTATGGGGTTTTCTCTCTGATTAGTAATGCTCAGACATCTCCTTGCTGGTTATTGCAGGTCTTTACATAAATTAAGCAACTCTAGGATGGGCAGCGCCATTCACATGTGCCCACATTGCACACACATTTGGGTTCCTTTCAAAGAGGCTTCCTCCCTTGTGGAGAAGTCTGTCAGTGTTCTGCTTCTAGTCCACTGCTCAGCATTAAGGGCTCTAGCCAGGAGGACAAGCTGGTTCTGAATGGTCCAATGTCTGCTAATGTGCCAGCTGGCTTGGGTGCCTGCCACCCCCTACTCTAGCTCTGTGATTTGCTTTCTGTTTTCCCAGACTGAGTTTCTTGCTAGGTCTCCTCTACAGTTTTGGATAGACAGACAAGAAAATCTTCAAACAGGAAAATGCCCTATGTATGGAGTGAGGAATCTTTTCATTTTCAAAGGCTAATTACTCACAGAAACATTGAAGCAACAAATCAAACAAAAAGTTGAAATATTATTGGAAGGAAATAAAACATAATGATTAAGTACATAGACTTGAGTTTCAGGCTGGAGTATAGTGGTGCTCCACTACAGTCTCGAACTCCTAGGCTCATGCTGTCCTCCTATCTCAGCCTCCTCAGTAGCTGGGACTACAGGTAACCTCATGTCTAGGGAAGCCCTTCTGTTGCGGACAGACTGGAATGGTTGCTCACTTAACTTGGTATGCCTGTTCTTACCATTCATTCATCAAACATTTATTAAGCCGTTGCCATCTTCCAAGCAACATGCTTGGAGCAAGAGAGTACAGATGAGTATGTTAAGAAGCAGGAAGGACAGGTGTGCAAAATAGACATAAGCTATAAATATATAAGACATATGACTCTAAAACTATGTGCTGCCATTTTACCTGCACCTTAGAAATACCTGGGGAGCTTTTAAAACTCCCGGCGTCCAGTCTGTTCTGCAGACCAACTAAATTAGGCTTTCTGGGGGTGAAATTCATGCATCAGTACTTTGAAAATCTTCCCCAGTGGTTCCAATGTGCAGTCAAGTTTGAGAACCACTATCCTAAAGGAAAGACTTCTTTCTTTTCCAACAGTCATGTCAGGACACATAACTCCAAGTGGGTCTGTATCTCTTTAGAATAATTGCCTTAGGAGTCATGCCCTTGTTCCAAAGAATCATTTGTTGCTTAAAACATTTGTGAAACTCCTTTGGGGATTATTCTTTCAGAGTCAGAGGCTTATATTTCTCCTTTGGGCATGCAGTTGAATTTTTGAAATTGAGTACTGATCACACAGAGCCAAACTTGGTAGGGGAGGTGGGCTCTCCAGCTTAGTAACACTACTTAGTGCTTACAACAACGCTAATGGCAGCAGCCATAAAAGTAATGACACTAATATGTTTGCATCCACTGGCTCAAGAAAACTTCAAAAAAAAATTCAGAGATGTTTGGAGAAATATCTTCCCAAAGAGACTTCTGAGACTTCTTGAAAGGGAAACAATATTGGTGTACTTTTGTATGTCTGTTAGAAATCTGGTATCCTTCCTTTACAGTCATGTGTATATTGATCAGCTCTTGGGTTTTTGTTTTATTTATTTTAATTTGGTAGCTGTGTTCCTTTTTCTTTCTTAGCAGTTGTATTGCTGGCTGTGAGGATATTGTTACTCTTAGCTGGGTCTTCCAAATTCACATCTGTTAATTTGACATGCAGATGAATCTTTGGAAGAGAATGCTTTGAAAAGAACTGCTCACAGCAGTGTGGGAAACCAAACGTTACTGCAATTTTGATGTATTTCTCTTCTTGTCAAGAAAAACATGAGAACTGGAATCATGAATTTATTGCTAAAGCATATCTTAGTGGGTGTCAACTCATGTGTTTTGTTTTGTTTCTTAGTTTGGTATGAGTGTTTAAAATTTTTAGGTATTGTGTGTGGCACATAAGTTTAATTCTGGTTTCTCCATTTTTAGGTTATTTATGAATTTCTAAATTGCAGACCCTGGTACATTTTTCTGTGAATGCAAGTTTGAGTTTAATTTTGGTTTCTTCACTTTTAGATCATTTATGAATTTCTAAATTGCAGACCCTGGTATGTTTCTCTGTGGATGCAAGTTTCTGTCCCTGATTAGGTTACATAGGTTAAGCTTAGCTTCTAATGTTCTTGTCTTTGAGGAGAGAGAAGAAAAAAATGAGTATCTCATTAAGCTCTTGCAGTCTGACAGGTGCTGTGTAAAGTCAAGTTGCTTGGGTCGAGGTTCTTCCTGTCCAAGTCAAATTTTAGTTTTTCCTTTAGTTCTTAACACTAAGCTATATCAGCATATGCCTAGTTGAGCTCTTACACATCACAGTAATTGGCTACCCCATCCTACTCAGATTCAAGAACTTTGTCTAACTCCTAAAACTGATGACCAATTCTCCCATTTGAATGAAAAGAATGCTGCATGCTCTAAAGACATTCTCTTGTTTGGTCATGACCTGGAGTGTAGTCTTTCTGATCTTAAGAAATGGTGCCATGTTGTACAATCTTCTTACCCATATCAAGATCAACGTAATCCAGAAGCAATCTACCCCTGTGGTTTTTGGAGCTTAATGGAGACTAGTAGTGTTTTCAGAGGGCAAACAGATTCCATGAATGGCTAGGAGAGCCTCCTTGAAGATACTCTCCTATTGGGTGCTGTCCTACATGACAACTAGAGAAAATAAGACTTTTTTCAAATAGCCCAATGCAGCAGGCGTGAGGGAGACAGGCCTTTGTGCTCTGTTTGTTCAGTGTCTGTTGTCTCTTCTACAGATGAAGAAAAGGGCAATATTAGTCATGAAACCTCTCAGGAATGTAACAATATCCTAAGACATGCCATTCATTCAGTTTGACCCTATTCTTCCAGTTAATCAAACTCATTCACATGATTTAGACTTCCATAGAGTAGATGAGTTAGCAAAGCATGATGTAGGTGCCAGGATTTTGAAATGATACACCTCTCCTGACCATAGGGATTTATAGCCTCAGGGACAATTTCAAAATTGAATAATAAGACATGTACACTGAGTGCCATTTTTAACCACTATTGGAGGACAGCTTACATGCCTTCTTCCCCCAGTAGAACGTGGTTCTTGTAATGGCAAGCAAGAACTATTGGGAAGTTAGAACTCTTAGCAGGAGTGGTCTGGGGAGAGTAGAAAGCAAGAATATTGTGGGCAAAGGAAACAGCACATACAAATGATCAAAAATGTAAGAAACAGCTGGACAACTGCTTATGTGTTTTCTTGGGATGCAGGAAGTGGGAGACTAGAACAGAGAGGGCCAAGTGATCGGGTTGTAACCATAATCAGTCATTAAGCAGTCTAAGTACGCAAACACCATAATCTAGATGTCATTTTCACGCTGCTGTGGATAACAGAATGGGTCAAGACAGGCACAAGACCAGGTCCTTGATGGGAGAGTTGTTATAATAACCCAGGGGGATGTGGTGAGTCCTGAACTGAAGCAGTGGCATAGGTGATGGAGAGGGGAGAATGGATTAGAGAAAGATTTAGGAGAGAGAACCAGAAAGATTGATTGAATATAGAAGATGGAGAGAGGAGGCCAATCAAGGATGACTTCCCATCTTCTATCTTGAATGCGTAGCTAGAAGGAAGTTCTGTCCCACAATTCACTGAGATGACTAGGCACAGAATGGGAAGAACTAGGGAACACAAGGTCAGGGTCAGACATGCTGAGTTTTATGATCTCTGATGGGGGGGAGTCAAGCAAAGGTGTATCACGGTTGATTTTGTATACAGATATGGTACTGAGTTTCACATTTACCAATGACCAACTTCCCAAGGGTCAATTTGAGTCATTTATCCCTTTCTCTCTCATGTCTGGGTCAGGTCTGAATCAGTCATTTTTCCAAGATCACATTCATGAGCACTATACTTTCATTTCTCTTAATTACAGTTTTATTAATTCAGATTTTCCAGGCATTTCTCTCTTAGAGTAATTATTAATTTTTATACTATAATTATTCTATTATTTTATATTTTCTTATTATTTCAATTTTAAAGACTCAGTTCACCCTTTCTCCTCCTATTACTTTCTTGTTCTTACACTGTATCATTCCCCCAGAGTTTAGAGAATGCCTTCAAGTTTATTAGGTACATGAATCAGGTCTATGAATATCCTGACAATTTGTACCAAAATTTTGAAATATTAAGAGAGCTACCTGTTCTCATGTCTGAAGGTTCCTTCCACACCTTAGGCCAGATTAGTTTTTATGTGTGCTCACCTACAGGGAAATGACTGCCCACAAATTTAATCCATAAACAAAAATCATGCCACAGGGAGGTGTTTGGAATAGGTTTAACAAATTGCTCACCTCTTACAAATATCTGAGAAATCAATATTGATTTGAAGATGTTGATAGATGCTGAAGAAATAATGGTTGCCAAGATAACTTATAATCTTTTGTGTATACCCCAAATACTCTAATAGCTCATAGCTTACCTAATAAGTTATTCTTGAATGTCATTCCATTAACAAACAGGATTTGGGCTTTCAGAATTTATCTGAATTTTAACTGAAACCAAGAGGCTAAATTCTCATTCTAAGCTGACTGTAGTCCAGATAAAAAGTAGAGCCTACACATACCTATGATTAGTCTTTGGAAATGAGGAATAAAGCAGAAGAGTCCCTCATGCTTGGTAATCTTTCCTGCTGGGCTACATGCCACAAGTATATTCCACTTCTTTCCTCTGGTCCTTTTTCCATCTCTCCTCTTAGAGGAGAAAGCTCCTTGCCTATAAAGACAAAGGGCCCTTCTTCAACTTTTGAGATTTCCAATCTCAGGTTCTGTTCTGAAAGACTTGGGAGCTGAAGAGCAGGGAAGACATGTAAGTGATATTCAGACTCATTGTCTTAAAATGTAAATCTACAACCACAGCACTTGAGACAAAACGATTTAGATGAACAATCGTGAATCAAACATAGCAAGCATGAAAGTTAATCTGACACTAATTTAATGGTATGCATAACTGTTATTGTGTTGCATGGTAATTAGGCCTAAGTGGTAAACAGTTCAGGTAAATGGCTTTAATTAGGATTACTTTCCATCTGTCAAGTCAAATATTTCTAAAGTCAACAGAGAGAAGGGGCAGATCAAGAAAACAAGTTTTGATGTCATTGTCTTCCTTTTCTCCTCCCTTCCATACCTCACCAGCCAACATGCACTCACATATGTGCATACACAGATATTAATAGAAACACACATAACAGATAGGCAGAAATGGCCAATTCTGTAGTCATTCATTTCCTCTCATCTTTCTTCTTGATGGTGAGCCTCATGATGTCCTGTTCTGATTTTAGAAGAACATATTATCTTCTCCTTAGGTTGTGGTATCACCAATATCTAGCCCTCCAAACCTACAGAAACAAGAAAATGCGAGCTTGGGGTTGGGAGGGAGGACACGGTGGTGTTAGAGGAGAAAAATGAAAGGTGCCTTGAACACTAGGGTTGTGAGTATCCCTGACCAAAGAAATGCCATCTGGCCATGTGGGTTCCTTCACAGGTAGGGGTCTTACAATGGGACAAACACTATGCCAGGAATGCATGTCTTGAAGGGTGACAGCATAAGGCCTGTCAAAACTTGAGAGGATCAGGACCAGTCTTATGGATGTGTGCCATAAGCACTGGAGAGAAGAGAATGAGAAAACACTAACTGAGAAACTAAATATTGTTTTGAAGGAGTACAATGCAGAGCTAGAGGTTGCCCCAGGATGTAGATGGAAGTAGGCCAGAGAAGGGTGAAAGTCAGGAAGATCAGGGACAGCTTGAAGGAACAAGCCAGACTCGAGGCACACAGTAAAAAAAAAGCAGTCACGACAATATAGTGCTTTGGTGAGGGCTTTGCACCCAGTCTTCACGGCCACTCAACATGGCTCTCCAACATGGAGAGCTATTGTCTGAAGCTGATTCAGGCACCAGCGTGAGCTTCACCATGGATGAGGACACCACTCTGGTATGCAGGAGTCACTTGGGGTTTCTCCCTGGGTTCCATCCCCAGTGATTCTAATTTAATTGTTCTGGGGGGCAGTCTGGGTATGGGGATCTTTCAAAGCTTTCAGAAGATCCTAAATATGCAGCTGGTGCTGAAAGGTGCTGCCCCAGAGTGAGCAATGTCAGTGTCAGGGTTGGACTTCTAAGTGCCAGTTCTCCCACCTGAAGACCCCCTGCCACTAGCTTCCTGGAAGGGGCTTTGGCTTTCCAGCTTCTGCTATAATATGACAGTGCTCTTTTTTGTCAAGTGACTCCCAGAAGCCAGCAGCTAACAGAAGGGCGGAGTCTAAAGGAGGCTTGAATAAGGGAGTATTCCCCTCTATACCTAAATGAGGAAGACATAAGCATAATGTTCCTCTTGAATGGCCCTTCCTCCAGTGCCCACTTCACCCCAACATATCCTGCATGTCTTTTCTTCCCAGGATTAGAGACTTTGGTAAAAGCCACTGCTTTTTCCTAGAATACTAAGATTGTAAAGATTTCAGCTGGTTGTTACCTTAGTGACTCTAGGGGATGGGCTGTACTTACAAAGGGAACACATTGTGTTTTGTAGGTTTAATAGCATTAATGCTTATCAAATGCTGGATGTCAGGCACATCGAGATCCAGCAGATGGAGTCCACTATGGCCTCCATTTCTGAGTCCGCAAACTTATTTGAGGTCAATGTTCCTGACTACAAGCAGCTGAAGCAATGCAGGAAGGAGGTCTGTCAGCTGAAGGAGCTCTGGGACACCATTGGAATGGTGAACTCCAGCATCTATGCCTGGGAGACCACCCTGTGGAGGGATATCAATGTGGAAACCATGGACTTGGAGTGCAAGCAGTTTGCCCGGCACATTCGAAATCTGGACAAGGAGGTCAGGGCCTGGGATGCATTCTCAGGCTTAGAAAACACTGTGCGGAACACCTTGACCTCCCTAAGGGCAATAGCTGAGCTGCAGAACCCAGCCATCCGGGAGCGGCATTGGAGGCAGCTGATGCAGGCCACTGGGGTGAGCTTCAGAATGGACAAGGACACCACTCTAGCACATCTCCTGCAGCTACAGCTGCACCACTTCGAGGACGAGGTTCGGGGCATTGTAGACAAAGCCGTGAAAGAGATGGGTATGGAGAAAACCTTAAAGGAGCTGGAGACCACCTGGGCTGGCATGGAATTCCACTATGAGCCCCACCCACAGACGAATGTCCCCTTGCTGCAGTCTGACGAAGACCTCATAGAGATTCTAGAGGATAATCAAGTTCAACTTCAGAACCTAGTGATGTCCAAGTATGTGGCTTTCTTCCTAGAAGAGGTGTCAACCTGGCAGAAGAAGCTGTCAACAGCTGATGCTATCATCTCCATCTGGTTTGAGGTGCAGCGAACTTGGACTCACCTTGAAAGTATATTCATTGGATCTGAAGATATCCGGGCTCAGCTACCACAGGTACCGGCTAGGAAATCCTGTTCTCTCTATTCTCTCACCCACATCAAAAGAGGATCGCCCAGTTCCTGTATGTTCTAGGCTCTTTCCTTTTCTGCCTCCCTGCTCTGGCTTTACTTAGGGCACCTCCCCCAAATACTGACCTTATCCTACCACCAAAAATCAGGCAGAGGAAAAGAGAGGAGGAGAAATGCACACCAATCAGTTCGTCCTTAGATGGGTAGAAAAAAGAGAGGAGAACCTTATTTTTTTTAAAAAAAGTGAACAGAAGAAAGGATATAAAAATATTAGCTACTACAGTTTGGGATGAGGCCCTCATGGGTTGCTTCTGGGATTATTAAAATGCAGGTAGCGACTGAAAATGAGCCTTTAAACCTCTGACCTGTGCCAGCACACCAAATACCAGTTGTCAACTAAATACCCAACAACAAACTGCCCTAAGATATGTGTCCTTTTCATTCTTACCTTCCCTGTGTTTGATTGCCCCTTCTAATTAGTCCTAATTAATGTGCCATTAACTTTCCCCTCTCTCAGTGGACTCTCATTCATTTTTAATTTTTTTTCCCCAGACTTCCTCTGTATCCCTTTAGTACAGCAAGTTCTTTGCTTACAAATTAGTTTGATTCCAAAATGTCATGAGCTGTTCAGGCCTTGTTTAGAAATTAAAGCACATTTCCCCAAAACATAGTTCTCCAGCTAATCCCACAAAAGCATATTTAGGGTAATAATGTAGATTAAAAGTTGTATATTTGCAATGAAAAATAACAGAAAATAATTCTGCTATAGCAGCTATAATTAAGCCAAATTGAATAAGCCAGTATTTATTTATCTCAAATGTCAGAGATTGAAGAAGGCCAGGTTTAATTATAAGGGAGTAAATACATAGGTAGAGATTTTTTTTAGAGACTTTTAGAGATGTTTGATAACTTTTAATTAAAAATATTGAAGAGTTTGTATCATTAATTTCTAAACAGTGCCACAGTTTTGTATACAAAATATGGAAATACATTATGTTCTCTGTATTAATGATACAACAGAAACAATTTCAAAACATAATACAGTTGGTCATAATCTTACACCCTAAGTAGTAATTATTTTCATTCATTGTGAATTTTTTCCAACTTTTCTTCACATATATGCATATTTTTATATAATTGCTTTCAGTGTAATTACAATTTTCTATACAGTTCTTTTCATTAGAACATTTATGCCACATACTTCTGATACTTCTACAACCTTGATACTGTTTCATTTTTAAGTGGAACAAAGTATCTCATTGATAAATAACAATTTACTTTACCTGGCTCTCTTGCTTTAAAATCTTCTTGGGAGAGAGGTGTGGATCACAGAGGGCGGGGACGGCTGGCCTGGTCCTGAGTCCTCACTCATATTACTTGCACCTGTGGAATCTTGGGTAAGCTACTTGACCTCTCAGTACCTTGGTTCCCTTATACATTAATTGGGACTAATACTAGTATCTACTCCAGAGAGTTTATCAAAACACCACACATAGCACATACCATTCTGATTGTTGTCCTGTAATAATAAAACTACAAACTCGTACTACGTGCCCAGTTCTGGGCTAAATCATTTCAATGATATTGCAAAGTGTGAGTATTTGGGGAAAATGATGACAACTAATTAATTTTGACATCAGAGGAGTACATTTGCTGAAGGAAAACATATTTGAGTTATACAAATTTTTCGTAGGGACCCAGGAAGAACATTTAACTTCATTATCTACTTGACTTAGAAATCCTGTTTTTATGACTTGGGGGTAGTCCCTGAAAACTTTTCCTGGGGTCTACAATATCAAACTGTCTTAATGATCATACAAATATGTCATTTGCCTTTTTTTGTTATCTTCCACAGGCATGCAGTGGGGTTCTCTATAGGTTGCGTGGTATGTGATATCACAGTAAATTGAATGCAGAAGCAGATATGAGAATACCACTGTCTCTTGTCAGACATTAAAGAAATTTGAAGAAAAGTGAAATGATGCCATCTTTTTATCTGTTATTTTTTGTTTTTGAAAAATATAATTACTTAAAACATGTTACCTATGTTAACATAATGGGCTTATTATTACTTTTAAATATACTAACACATATTTTTAAGATTTCTAAAAATCTTATCTTTACTCTCTAATACATAAAATATTGATATATATGATATTACCTACATAAACAGAAGCCCTTTGGATTCCTCAATAATTTTTTAAAAGTGTAAATGGGATCCAAGACAAAACTGTCTTGAGATTTGCTGTTTTGAGCTAAGAGTATTTCTTTCTTTGCATCTAATTTCTGTATTAGTCAACCCAGGAACGGGTTTCTGTTTCTGACTGGCTACATGAGAGAAACCTCTAGGAACTGGGCGGGGGGGGGGGGGGCGGTAAATAATTTTTTTTCACATTTTTATTTACAGGATTCTAAAAGGTTTGAAGGCATTGACTTAGACTTTAAAGAGCTAGCTTATGATGCTCAGAAAACTCCAAATGTAGTGGAAGCCACCAACAAATCAGGTCTTTATGAAAAACTGGAAGATATTCAAAGCAGGTGATGGTCCACTTCTTACCCCTTTTGTAATGAATAAGGCAATACTTCTTTCCTTCCTTCTGTCTCTGAGATTTTTACTGTATTTAACTGTCTGAGTGAGTGAATATGCGTGTCTGGATGTGTGTCTTTTGTTGCCTGTATATTTGGGTAATATGGAGTGTTATTAGGGGCATTCATGCTGATGTAAATGCATAAATGTTATATTTTCAAATATCCATAAGTAATTCTTGTGCTGATTTCTGCATATTTCCTATATACTGCATGTATTTTCATTTAGGTAATATAAAAGGGGATCTCTCCCCCCAAAAATGGAATTATTTTTTGGAGGGCAGGCCCCTTGTAGTATCGGCTTCCCCTGCTAGGCAAGTATTCTAGGAATCCATCAGCATCAGTGTACCAGCTAGCATATGAGAGGCTGCATTCAGCTTCAGTGATCTTTTTTTTTTTTTTTTTGAGATTCTTTTAACGCATTTGCCCATTTCATGATGAGTGATTTATGAGTGCACCTGCCAACACCGCACTGAGTGTTCAGCAGTTTTTGACCAAAAATGGTATAATGCTGATGCCCTACCCTCTGTATTTACCCAATCTCACCCTGAGTGACTTTTTTTTGTTTCCCCTGTTGAAAAAAATTTTCAAAGGGAAACATCTTGCCCATGTGGAAGAGGTGAAACAAAAAATGGCAGAAACACTAAAAAACATCAAAATTGGTGAGTTCAAAAACAGTTTTGAATAGTGAAAAAAGCATTTCAATAGGTGTATTGCATAAAACAGAGAGTACTTTGAAGGTGACTGAAGTTTAAACATATAAGAATATATACAAAATTTTCTATGAATAAATTCCAGGGTTTTTTTTACACACAAACCCCCCCCCCCCCCCCCCCCC